CATAACTGTCATTTTGCTACTGTTATAAATCAGATGACCCCTGTGAAAGGGTCGTTCGACCCCCGAAGGGGTCGCGACCCACAGGTTGAGAATGGCTGCACTAGCTGCTCTTCAGAAAGATGAGGTTTTCTGCTCCTGTAAAGCTTCACAGCTTTGGAAACCCAAATGGACAGTTTTCTCTGTCCCATCGGGTCCCTTGTGAGACGGAAGCGACCCTGTGGCAGTGGATTTTTAGTTCATCAAATTAACAAATTGATCTATGTATTGTGATGAATTGTATGAGCCCCAATAAAATGATTATTAAAAAAAAAAGTACAGCTGGAATGCTCTTAGAAGCAAAGATTAAAAAAGCAGAAGCAGCAAAGATGGTGACACTTTGTTTCACATACTTTGGATATGTTATTGAGAGATCAGTCCCCTATGATTGAACTGTTGAATCATGTGATGTGCGGATTATGTGCCAATAGAACTGTAAAAAAAAATTTAGAAAAAGATGCAACTTCCAGTCCCAAGTAAAAAGACGATGTAAAAAAAAATTAAGTATCAAACTGTGAAGTATTTAATCTTGGGGGGAAAGAGAGAAAGAAAGAGAGGTGATCAGAGGCTGGAAGCAGACGCCATGCTTGCAAAGTAGATCAGTGAAAACGGGGAAGGCCCTCAAGGAGGTGGATTAAGACAGTGGCTGCAACCTTGGGCCCAAACCTGGCAATGACCGTGAGGATGGCCCACGAGCAGTCCGTGTTTCCCTCTGCCTGGCACAGGGCCATTGTGCGTCCAAACCCACTTGAGGGTCCCTAACAACAGTGACACAACACCGAAGGAAGCAATCATCAGAAGGCAAGCATGTGACCTTCTTTGATGCCTATTTATGTTTGTGTTAAGAAATAAATCAGCGTATAATATATTTAGATATTAAAAATACACTTCAAATGAGCCCTATTAAGAGATCAATATTTTAAGACTTGCCTGGTGGCATATTGGGCTATGCCCTGAGCTTCTAATGCAAGCTCAAGAGCTTGAACCTTACCAGCAACTAACTCCGCGGGAGAAAGATGAGAATGTTTCCTTAGGAAGACTTCGTCTCAGGAACCCCAAGGGGCAGTGCGACCCTACCTGTTGGGTTGCTCCAGTCCGAGTTGACAACAGCAGGGAGCCTCTTTTTGCTGTTTTGTTATTATTTTTGTAATTTATTTTTTTAAGACTTATAAGCGGGTTGGATATAAGAGGAGCTGACACCAAGGGCGCAATAGAAAATAAATGTCTAGAAAATAATGATGGCAACATATGTACAAATGTGCTTGATACAATTGATGTATGGATTGTTACAAGAGCTGTAAGAGGCCCAATAAAATGTTTTCTGTTTTTTAAAAAATGAACCGTAAAAGTCCCCAATAATATGATTTATTTTCAAAAAAAGACTTATAAGCAATCATTTTTAAACATCTGCTTTTACTCCATTTAAGTTTATATTCTTACTTTAGTTAGACAGAGAGTAATATTTATGTTATTTAATAAAAGTAGGGTTAAGATCAAGGATTGCAGTCTGCACTATGTATTACAACTCAATGAACAGAAAACAAAATCTTCACAGCTGGACCAGTAGGTAACCTTGGTAAACAGAGGGAAGATTGAATGTCTAAGATTTTATTTTGCTTGGGCCAACAATCAGTGCTATGGAAGCAGCAGTCAAGAGATGCAACAACCCATGGCTTTCTTTTAAAGCAGTGATTCTCAACCTTCCTAATGCCGCAAGCCTTTAAAACAGCTCATGTTGTGGCGACCCCTCAACCATCAAATTATTTCGTTGTTACTTCATAACTGTAATTTTGCTACGAATTGGGCGACCCCTGTGAAAGGGTCATTTGACCTCTAAAGGGGTCGCGACCCACAGGTTGAGAACCGCTGTAAAGTGTGGAAGAGCCAGGATGTCGATTGGAAGACTTGACTACACCTCACCCAAGCCATGGTATTTTCAATCACCTCCTATGCATATGGGCGTTGAATAAAGGAAACCAAAGACTCGATTCATTTGAATGATAGGGCTGGCAAAGAATACCAAAGGTACCACGGACTGTCAGAAAGAACAAATAAATCTGCCTTGAGAGCCATACAGCCCGCCCGTAGGCTCCTCGGGAGCGAGACTGGTGGGGCTTCATCTCACATACTTTGGACATGCTGGCAAAAGACATTAGTCTCTGGAAAAGAATATCAGGCTTAATAAAATGGAGGGGCAGGTTCAAAATATACTATAATGAAATATACTAGGTTCTTACAAAGTTACAAATTAAATTATGACTATTCTAATTTAAAACTCTTCATGTCTCTTTAAATATCAAGATTTCATTCAAAACACTTGAGTATTTCCTTGCTACACGTTCTGATTATGACTGGGACTAGCATCTTCCCTAAGGAGTTCGTACATTAGCAGATGAATGTTATGATCAGTCCGCCTTTGTTAGAAACCTTTATTTACATTTTTAAAACAAGGTGGTCAGGCCAATTTAATCAGCTGACAAACCCCAGGCAGGAACAAATATAGGACTTAAGGGGAAAAAAGAGTGATGAAACGAGAAATTCGTATATTCCTAGATTTTTTTTCTGGCCTGAGATTAATGTTACCTCTCAGTTTAATTGCTTTGCACGTATTCTTGTGACGTTGCACCACTGGGAGGAGGAAGAAAAAGGCTGAGTGTGTGAGTGTGTGACATATCTTTCCAGAACGTATTGGAGAGGGAGGGGGAGAACACAGAAGCCAGCTCGTTTGACCAGAAACAGAGCTGCCTGTGACAGATGAAGAGCAAGGCTTGGAATCTGAGAGCAAAGCCCCGCGAGTGGAAATTTACAACGGCTCCGTGCGCTTGCAAGAGATCATTTTCTGCTAACCGTTTTCCGGCGGTGCCTGTGGCTTTAAAGAGACACAGAAAGTCAAAGAGGCATTGTGGAAAAAAAGTCTCTGCCGGGCTTGGACAATAAGAGGCAACCCCTGTTAAATGGAAGATAAAAGCGATTTCACCGAAAGGGCTTTGAAACCGAGAGAGAGCTGTCTTCAGCACCTCAGCATGTCTGTTGCTTAGATAAGACTGGGTGTTTCTGGAAGATTTGGTGAGTAGCAACCAAGCTTTCTATACCTCTTCGGGTAAATGGAATTGATGTGGCAGCCTTAGTTTCAGTTGAAGTTTTACATTTATTGCCTCTGTGTTCAGTTTGGACCTTTTTTGTTTTTATTATGATGAAGTGCTGTTACTAAGCGAGGTTTAAAAAAAACAAAAACAGCTACAAAACAATACTCCTCTGTTGCCTCACACACTTGAGCCGTTTCCAGAGATTCTGTGCTCATGGACTATCTTCTTTTGGGTGTGAGTTGTTATTTATAAAGAGTTTCCAAAAATAAAATAATGGCTCTATGCCATTTTTCATATTTTCTTTCAATTACATACGATTGAAATGATCTGTGTGAGGAAATGCAAAATTATCATTATGATGTTTGGCATTAGAAATTATTTAAAACTGAGAGCATTCATAATTGAAACAAAAACATAAATGATACCATTAATAAAAGGATGTATAATTTGACTGCTAAACGTGTCTGTTAGTTGTAACACCTGCTTTTTGGGGGGAGTTCCCCTAAAAAATTAAAATGAGACAGTTCTGTCACTGATTACAAAATGATTTCGTGGATTTCCCAGTTAACAAAGACATTAGTTATTTGTCCTCCTTGCTCTCACAAACACTGTTCTGTGGAAGAACTCTTATGACCAGGCGTCATGTGTGCAAAAGGCAATCACGCCTAGAACAGTAGAATGGAATCTTAATATCGATCTTCCAATTCCAACAAAACTTTGATTCGAACAATTGGATTGATGGCATGCAGTCCTTCTGTGGGAGGAAGGATAGATATGTTGCTAGTTGCTAAATTGAGTCATGGCATATGAAGAAGTACCGCACGAAACAAAGTTTCTAATTCTCTCTGCCAGCCTCAAGAAATAGTCCGTAGTTGTTATTTTAAGTGAGTCCTTAAAAGAAACCGCTTAGCTGAAATGAAAACCCCACTGGAGTCCCAGGAAACATATTAAAAGGGGTTATACCCTAGACTTAACATAAAATGGCTGTACTTTCTCTGTGTGAACAGAAGCCTGTAGAACAGGTTTTGTTTTGTGGATTCTTTTTCCTTTCTTTCTTTCTTTTTTTTTTTTACCCTGTTGACTTATGCCTAAGAAGCATCTCAGCTGGCTTGTTATAACTATTTTTGTACCAGTATCTCGCAATTAAAGTCAAAAGTAAATACAATTCAAATAACTTCCAAGCAACTTTTCATTTTTTATAACATTCCCCACACCTCTCCTTTCTTCGACTAATTGGAAATGCGCAGGTAGCTCCACAATCTTAAGAACAATTTTAATTTTAAGCTGCTAATTCACTGGTTACCTTAGTGATGGCACAGCTGGAGTCCGTAAGAATGTAACTATGAGAGAGCTTCAAAAAGTTCATGGGCAAAGGGAATTAAAAGATAATGGAATTTTCCCACAAATTTTATGAAGCCCCTGGTATACAAATCAAGGGCAAAAATTAATCATACTCAATTTACAACTGGTTTGTATTTCAGAAGTTTCTTTGTAAATGGGTAGTTGGGAATTTTGAAACAATTGCCCCAGGAAACAATTAAACAAGTGGTGGTTTGGGTTTGAGAAAGATGTGGAAATCTGTTTTCATAGATTTACAGCCTTGCTCTCTCTCTCTCTCTCTCTCTCTCTCTCTCTCTCTCGCTCTCTGTCTCTCTCTCTCTGCTCACTCCCTGTGAGACGAAGGAAAAAAAAAAAAGATTTACAGCCTTAGAAATCCTATGGGTCAGTTCTACTTTGTTCTGTTGAGACACTGTGAGTTGACACATGGAAATTTAGCTTGAGTTTTATTATAGCCTAAGGATCTATTTTACTTAACTTTATGGAAAAACGACCCCCTACGTTAAAAAATATTAGGAAATCAATTTAAGTAATGATGGTAAATACAAAAACAGCTGCTGGGATGTTGAATATGCCATTGTTTTATTTCTCCTGAATATGCGTGCTGGAAGAAAAGAAAATGTAGTTAAGAAGTGGATGGCTAATTAGAAGGATGCTTATAAACAGGATTTTCAAGGTGCTTTCTAGAGCTTCTGAAGTTGTCTGCACTATTTATGAGATATAATCTCATGTTGAATCTGTGATTTTTCTTATTGCAGGATAGTTTTTAGCCATCAGTATTCCTGTGATCTATAGCCCAATGTCTGATAAATAAAACCCAACCAGTTGCAGTTGAGTAGATTCCGAATCATGGCAACGACTTGTGTCTAGAACTGGTCCATAGGGTTTACAAAGCTGCAGTCTTTGGGGATCAAATAGGCAGGCCTAATTTGTGAAGTACCTGTGAGTTAGTTCATACTGCCGTCTTTTTGGCTCACAGTTGAGTGCTTAACTGTTTACACTGGCACATGGTAGATACCTAATAAACGAAAAAGTAAATGAGTATAAGACTCCCAAAAATGAGCTCCCAAAAATGGGACTAATGAATGTTTCCATGGTATTCGATAAAGGAAAGGTGGTTACAGACACACATTTTCCAATTAGAGAATAAGAGGGCCTAACATAGAAATGCACAAACTGTGACAACTGAACAAAGTTAATACAGTATAGAAGTGGGCTGATTTTCAGAGAGGAAAAAAAAGACCACGATATAACTTGGTGGCAATCCTGAGGGATGCAGATGAAAGGAGACAATATAATATCAAGATATCTTGAGTATTTGGATAAGTGTCAACATTAATTCAGATGAGTTATGTATTTACATATGTGTAGTAAGATTTACATGAAAAAAAATGTGGTCCAGTTGAAAAACTCAAGTTGGTCTGTCGCAATTAAGTTTCATTACACTGGCCTGAAAAGTTTCTCTAACGTGCCAATATATAAAATTAATAAGCTAATAAACCAATAAACATGATGGAATGATGAATAACAAAATAAATGGCACATGCTTACACTTATGGGGGGGGTTTATTTCAGACAGGTATCAACTATTTTGATTAAGAAATACTTCATTCTGAGGACCTAATGTCGGAGGTTTAAATGGAGAGAAAATGTTTTGAGAAATGATGTACAAATACGCTTTACACAATTGATGTGTGTATGGATTGGGATAACAGTTGTATGAGCCCCTAATAAAATGTTTAAAAAATTAAAAAAAAAAAAAAGAAATACTTCATTCTGCTTAAAATTATTTTGAAAATGTAATGGTTTTGAGCTGTCGTAAGTGGTACATATTGGTGTTGAGTGCTGCCAATTATTACGTCCTGACTTGTGGAAATGCCATGAGACAGAGTAGACTACCTAAAGCAGTATAGATTGCCAGGTCTTTCGCCTACAGAGACAAGGTGAGAGTTCTAACTGCCAACCTTTCAATTAGCAATGGAGTACTCAACCCTTACAATACCAGAGCTCATCTAAGTGGCAGGAAATAGGTGCTTAATAGATGTATTCTTACAATTAGTGAATTTGAAGGTGCCCCAGTTTGGACACTTTTTCCTACGTGAGACACAGATCTTTATGTCCATATGCATGTATAATGTTACATAAAGATCATGTCAGTTGATGTTTCCTTCTCACAGCTATTGAGTTGATTTCAACTGGTGTGACCCTATAGGACAGGGTAGAACTTTCATCGGGAGATTTCCGAGATTGTAACTCTTTACAGGAGCAGAAAGCGTTATCTTTCTCTTACAGAGTGGCTAGTAGTTTTGAACTGCTGACTCTGCAAGTAGCAGCCCAATGCTTAACCACTACCCTATCAGGGCTCTTCCTTATCAAGGAAGAAATCTATTAAAGTTATACTAGCATACTTACTAATTAATTAATAATTGATTATTATTTTTTATAATTGGCTTAAAGAAAATATTTACTGTTTGTAAATGAGATTACAATTCTCAGTTGTGTGACTCATGCCTTTGATTTCTAGTAGGAATTTATTCAGTCTCTTCCAGTTTTGGAAGGGCAAAAGGGGATTATCCATTTAGAAAACTGGAATCAACTCTTGAAGACTATAGGATAACATATCACCTTCATCCCTACTGTCCCATGATGATATTTTATAGAATGATAGACTATAGACAGACTTACAGAGTCCATGAAATAATTACAGTATATACCGTAACTATAAACTTCAGCTTAATACCCAAACTAATAGCTAACCATAATCAGAGTTCTGTTATGTGTAAATATGTATGTGCTTGCAGAAAGACTGAATTAAAAATGGATTATGAATTTTTCCTGTTGTAAAGAATAGAGATGTATTAATATCAAATAGATATGATATTTTAATTATAGTTACCAATTTCTGAAAATACAAGGGGTCTTCAAAGGCTTCATGAAAATAATATGAAAAAACTACATTGGATTTCAAAAAACTTTTGCACCAAAATAAACTCGTATTAATTTATAATAACCTGCCTGAACAGGGTTTACTTTCAGGGACTAAGAAGGATAAGCTCTCAATTTGAAAAGGCTCTTATCAAAGCAACATCAATTCTGCTAAACTTATGGTATAGTCTTGGTGGAAGAATTGTGAAATCGCTGATGCTTTAGGAAAAGTTTATGGCCGGAGGCCGGGCGGGTACAGCCCTCAAATCTTCAGTGTACGACTGGACAGCTCGTTTTAGGAAAGGATCAGAAACTGTTGAAGATGAAGCCTTCAACAACCTATAGCAGGAGACCATCGTTTAGGAGGAAACAATCTTGTCTGCGTCCTAATTTAAAAAGATTGATGAGGAACAGCAATAACAATAGCCAACACCATAGACCTTTCCATTGGTTTAGCTTGCACAATACTGACTGAGAAATTAGAGTTCTGCAAACTTTAAACAAGTAGAATCGAGATCCTGAAGCATTTCTTGGGAAGAATTGTAGCAAGAAAAGAAACATAACTCTGCTAGTATATTTCTGCAGCCAAAACACAGTCAAAGCAATGGTTACCAAAAGGTGAAAGTGAATCATTCCTTCAAAGCAGAAGTAGACTGGTCAAGAGAAAAGGTCATGGGCACAGTTTTTGTTTATTTGGGGTTTTTTTTGATGCTTGAG